TGGGGGAAGGGGAACAGACAAGTTGCTGTCTTTTTGTTCTTCAGTCTAGTTGTGGAGGATGTCACCTCACTGGCCCATGTTGGTATTGTGCTCTTCCCAGGTGAGGCAGATTGGTCGCTGGCCTCTGGACGGCTGCTGACAGCGGCTCTTAGCAGCTCACACTGGCTGCCAGCTGCTCACGTTGGCTGCTGGCCACACATGGTAGCTTATGGCAGCCCACTGCAGCAGGGGCTGCAGCCTACGCCATCACCGGCAACACATGGCAGCGCAGCTCCAGATCGAGCTGCTGCTCACCATCTTAGCTGTAGAGGGCAGTGTCACTGGCCCCCATGTGGGATCCAAACCGGGGCCCTGCTGCTCAGAGCTGGTGTCCCAAGCCAACTCTTAACCAACACGCCACCCAGACGGCCCTATTCTGTTGATCTTATGTCTATTTTTATCCTATTCTTCATTTCATTATCAGTTTTATTTTCTTCTGCTTACTGTATGCTTAGTTTGCTCTTCTTTCTTGAGGTTATGAACGTAAAAGCTGAGGTCATTGATTTGAGACCTTTTTTTTCTAATATAGGCATTTAGTACTATAAATTTCTCTGAGTAATGCTTTAGCTGTATTTCATAATTTTTGATGTGTTGTATTTATTTTGTTCAAAAAAGTTAGAAAGATAGTTGCTGATTTCGTTTTTGATGTCTTTTTTGACATATAGGTTATTTAGAGCTGTGTTATTTAGTTTCCAATATTTGAGAACTTTCAAGATATTTTTTTGCTATTTATTTCCAATTTAATTCCATAATGATCAGAGAACATATGTTGTGTAATATGGATCCTTGTAACTTTATTGATGCTTGTTTTTATGGCTCAGAATATGATCTGTGTTGGTAAATGGTCTTCGTGTACTTGGAAACAATGTGTCTTTTGTTGTTGTTAGTGTAGTCGTAAATGTCAGTTCAAGTTGATTGATAGTGTTCTTGGAGTTTTCTATATCCTTATTGATTTTCTTGGTCTATTTGTTCTATCAATTATTGAGAGAGGAATGTTGATATCTTCAGCTATAATTGTGGATTTGTCTATTTTTCCTTGAAGTTTTATCAGTTTTTATCTAATATATTTTGGAGTTCTGTTATTAAGTGTATAAACATTTAAGATTATGTTCTTGATGAATTGACCCCTTTATCATTATAAATGACTTTTTTTTCCCTAGTAATATTTTTTTCTCAGAAATCTTTTTTTTTTTAAGACTTTTATTGGGGAATTGGGGAATGGGAACAGCACTGGGGAATTGGGGGAAGGGGAACAGACAAGTTGCTGTCCTTTTGTTCTCCAGTCTAGTTGTGGAGGATGTTGGTTCACTGGCCCAAGTTGGCACCATCATTGCACTCTTCCCGGGCAAGGCAGATCAGTCACTGGCTTCTAGACGGCCGCTCACTGCGGCTGCTGAAGTCATTGGGGGCCAAATCAGATGAGTAGGGAGGGTGTTCCAATACAGTTATTTGTGTATTGGCTAAAAACCCCCTCACCGACAGTACCATGAGAGCTGGTGCATTGCCATGATATAAGAGCCATGAATTGTTGGTGAAAAGTTCAGGTTGTTTTTGTCTAACTTTTTCCTGTAGCCTCTTCAGCACTTCTAAGTAGTAAAGTTGGTTAAACTTGGTTGTCCAGTTGGTACAAATTCATAATGAATAATTCCACTGATATCAAAAAAGGTTAGCAACATCATTGCAACAAGTTCACGAACTTAATTGTCTGACCTCATATATCTTTACCATCCTTATGCTTTTAACTTTTTTGTGTTTCTTATATTTACTGTGGGTTTCTTGTAGACAACATATATTTGGGTCTTGCTGTTTTGTATGTAATCAGAGAATATCTTACTTTTAATTGGAGGGTTTATTCCATTTACACGTAATGATATTATTGATATGTTTCCATTTAAATTTATCATTATGGTACTTTTTCCTCCCTATTTATCTCATCTATTTCCTCTTTCCCACCGCCTTTTTTTCTGCCTTCTTTGGATTGAATATTTATGATCCCATTTTATCTCCTTTGTTGATTTATTAGATAGGACTCATTTTTTTGTTATTTTAGTGGTTGCTTTAGGGTTTATAGCATACATCTTTAGCTAAATTCAGTCCACCTTCATATAATATTACATCACTTCACATATGATATAAGAACCTTATAGTAGTAGTAACAAAAGAAAAAAATAAACTAGTGGGACTACACCAAACTATTAAGTTGTCGGGAAAGTCATGACGTATTTTTTCTGGTTTTTGTTGCAAAAATGCCTCATGACTTTTCTGACAACCCAATAAGAAGCTTCTGCATAGCAAAAGAAATAGTCGCTGAAATGAAAAGGCAACTACAGAATTGGAGGAAATATTTGCAAGTCATATATCTGATAAGGAA